AGAAAACTTTGAATCAATGTGACTGGATGATCTGGTGAACTGGAAAGTGCCTTAAGATGGCATATGGTGTGAATTGGAGCTATAGAAATAAATGACATTTTTTTAATTAGATGATAAAGTTTTTATTCTTTTTGCAAAGTTCTCTCCCTCCAATCAGAGCACAGGAAAAGTCAGGTCACACTTTATGACACAAACAGACCGGTGCTGCAGCATCCAGGAGGAGCGCGTCCTGCAATGACTGGATGCAATCAGCTGGTTTTCCTTTAGAAAGGAAAATATGAAACTTAATTCTGACTGGATGATCTGATTGAATCAAGACATGCTGTGGACGGGAATGAATCCAATACTTTCTCTGTTTGCAGTGAATTGAAACAATAAAGCCTTTTTCCATCTGAAAATAGCAGGTTAACGCATGTTTTTCAAACAACGCTGGGTTGATGATGTCACAGTACGACAGAAATCAGGGACGTAAACAATGCAGAGCAACATGTTAGGAAGCCAGGGCGTAGTCAGTGTGCTTTATTGTTTCTCTATTATCTGCCTGAATCCCTCTCAGCTGAACGGTTTATCGAATGTAAACAGAGTTGTTTGGCGTGGTGAGTTGACGTCTGTACGTTGCGTTCAATGGTATCACGTAATTTAGAAGGACAACCTGACTCTGGTGTTCCCACAGCATGCCGATCAGAGCCAAGGAGATTTTAATGCGGGTTGCTTGCCGAGTCGTTTGACCTGGGTAGACACGCGTCAGTGAGCTGTTCCGACTGCCACTAAAAGCCCATTTTAAACTGGTTTTTGGCCAGTGGGAAAGGGGTGAAAAAGTCATGTTTCTGGACTGTGGGAGGAAGCTGGAGTACCCAGAAGGAACCCATACAGGCACAAAGAGAACATTCAGAGTCTCACTTGTCATGAACTTAAAAACTGAATCAAACAGGCAAACTTTTTCATAAAGGAAGGGATCTGTGTCAGAGAGGCTCTTCTGTAATAAACTCAGGATAGGATATCTTAGAGTTTTTACCCCCAGCTTAAACATATCAACATTTCAGAAATGTGACAATGTGATTAAGCTGATTTAAATAAATGAGATGTTCATCTCGGTTTGTTGCAATTTTCTGGTAAAAAAAAACTAAACAAACCAGAAATCTTTCATCGGTGATAAAAGGCTTCTTCCCTGATATCAAAGAAGATATTTAGTAAGACATTAAAATCTGTTTATTTCTATGTTCAGATCATGTGTGTTTTGCTGTCGTCTGGCAGGGAGCCTCGCTGCAGCTGTAAATGGATGTGCTGGGAGATATAGAAAAAACATAACATAAACTAAAGAGGAGAAACGAATAAATAAACATTTGGACGGCTAATTATTGAATTTATGATGCTTTTAGCCGGTTCAGAGAATATCATTTATTTTTAATGGACTCACTGTAAATATTGGCATTCCAAAAAAATTTAGAAA